ACTGCGTGCAACCTACCTAGCTAAGCAACGTGAACTTAGTTATGTCAGTGGCGCTTAACTAGCCTCCTGCAGCGGTGAGCCGTACCGATTCAACCAACGTAACACTCTGTATTCAGTTTGGCTTAGTAGAAACAGCGTGACATAATGCTAAGCGATTTCTTCCCCCCCCCCACGCTCAGCCAATGCGATTTTCGCAAAAGTGAAATATAGGATCATGTCAAAAATATGTCATGAGCGGGGCTATGAGAAAAGTACTTCAGTAATGTGATAAACCTTAAATTTCTTAAGAGCCATGTTCACTCAGCAAGATTACGACTGTGCTGCCTTGGCAGAGGTTTGCACTCAAGGAGTGCCTCTAGTTACCTTGTGTTTTCCGAAGGCGTTGATGGCGAAGAATTGTGAAATTATAAAAGCACGGAGGCATATAATTACCTGCATAGTAACAAAACAGGTAAAGTACTGCTCAAGAAACACAGCAACTTCATATTTCTGAGGGCGGCTGTTGAGCCCAGCCAGATCGTCAGTCAAGCCGAACATACAGGGTGGGTAATGCTGAGGAAAAGTGGAGTTGCGGAGACAGTCAACTGCTCGTGTATTGCCAGATTAGGGAAATCATGTAGTCATGCAGCAGCTATTCTGTGGAAGGCAGCGTTATTCATTAAACCAAAGCTCCCTTCAGTTATCCAAACATCAGAACAATTAAATATATTTACAAAGACGTTATTGTGCTTTTATTGCCCAGGATATACATGCTTATGCTCAGCGCTGAGTGGTTAAATGATGAACATCCTATTGATGTCATTATTTCTGATGTTTTTGTTGTTTGGGCTAGCTGGCTCTGTTGCTGTCATTGGCATCAAGGCTACCGGAAACACAAAACCGAACAGCGGACGTAGGAGTTCTGTCATGGCAGCGCCCATGGGCTTCTGGTGAAACTTGTGGATACGGCCAGAATTCTCACTCTGTCAATTACTCTCTTTTACTTACAGTGGAGGATCCGGGGCGTTCAGGGCGCAAGGCCCCCCCTTTTTTTCAGAAAAAGTGAAAATATTGAGCGCATATTGATCCTTGAATGAATCCGAATTTAATACGTACAAAATCATATTGGCGATAGTAATATCTTGAACAATCTCCCAATCTTTAATTATAGTGTGTACGTCAGTTCTCACGGTTTATTTACCACTTTTAATGGTTCAACTTCACTATTCCGGTTGTCTTGCATCATGACAAAATTATTTGGATCCAGTTTATTTATTAGCTTTATGCGATAAGAATGACCGAGAAACTCTTTTCTTGCAAATAAAAAACGATACATGGACTTAGGCTATGTATAATATAATTTAATTTTGTTGTTTTCGTCCTTAAGATTAACAAGGCAGGCTTGCTGGGAAATTTGTTCGACCAATGGCCTTACTTGTCCCCTGTTGCGGTAACAGTCTAAAAACGCGTTTCAATGACTAGCTACTTCAGACGAAAATGTCAGAAAGCAATGGAAAGGCGGAAAAGCTTAGAGAATAAAGTAAACCGACATTTGAGGCTCAGCCTTTCAAATGCAAAAAAATGACCTGCTGTTTGGCCATGATGATCCTCGCAGCAAGCAGTTTTCATTTGCAGGGGGACTTGGAAGCGGTAAGACTGACGTTGAATTAATAGGCGATCGCAGGTATGCGTTCGGTTAAAATTTGCTTGACCTTACAAAAGGCCCCCACTGATGGACCAGTTGTTCATAGCCTACTATTTGATGTATATTGATTAGTTGTTTTACGGTGCCAAATAAAATTTGTCCTGGAATAGCGAAATTTTCCATTCCAAAACCCCGTCTTGACGTTCGGAATCACCCGTCAGTAAACTTGTAACCAGCGAGTACTGCGGTTCTGAAGCTAGTGAGCTAATCTATGCCCTTTAGAGTCTGTAAGTAAGATATGTAACATTACTTTAAAAAGCTTATGTATGAGTCAGTCGAAATAGTTCAATGGTCTTATTGAAAAATTTGAATGGCCCTAAAGTCACATTTCTTTTCCACATTCATTCATGTAAATATAATAATAATAATATTTCAGTAAAAAATAGTTCATATGTTGACAATGTTATGTTTTAATATGGGACAGCATCATTGTATCAAATTTTTATCAGCACATCTTTAGGATAAATAGGATCTATAATATAAAAAAGATAGTTTGTTTTTGGACATTACTGACCCAACCACTGCCTCCAGATTAGTAAATTCACTCACGTGCAGAAATTCAATTTAATGGTGACTCTGATTATGTGTATGACAACACTTCCTACTCTCATAACACTTGGGAGTGTTTTGGAAGCATTAAAGTCTCATCATTTAGAACCATTTTGAAAAAAGGCAATCACAGCATTGTAATGACTTTTTACAAGCTGTTGAGTGTGGTATCTTTTACTAAACCTGGTTTAGGGACTTCGGGGAGAGGGGGGATTTGATGATCTGTTAACATCTGCTAAAATCACAGATGCATATAGCCACTGGGTTTGCATGTTAGATATACTCTATAATTATTTTATTGGAGGCTATTCAGTGTTATATAAACTCAAAAACTAATAATATCCATGTTTTGTGGGAAATATGGTCAAACTCTTTCGCTGCTGGTGGTGATTTTGTCAACATTTCTGAAACATCAAAACCTTTGAAAATCGCTCGAACCATAGCACATTGGTATTCACTGGAAAGCTCTCATCAAGCACTTTCCAATGAATGCCAACACTGTAGGGTTTGGACGATTTTGAAAGATTGTCTCCTCTTTGAAATTTTGACCAAGTCACCAACAGCAGTGAAAGGGTTAAGGTCATGAACTTTGACAGTAAAGTGAAAGTCTTATGTAAAAGTTCAAGTTGTCAGTTAATGTAAAACTGCGTTATAACGGCGCTTTGAAAGTTTTTTTAGCTTAATTTTTGGAACCTTAGGAGGAAAATCATTGAACAGACAGGCCAGATTTTTCTCCCAAAATATCAGGAAAACGTGTTTTCAGCGTATTAATTTTTCTAATTTTTCTGGGGGAGGGTCCGCAGACTCCCCTCCTTGCTGCGCCCCCCTTTTCAGCAATTCCTGGATCCGCCCCTGACTTAGGCCACATTTTTGATATGCCACTCTGAATTATTGTTCTTAATTATTTTCAACACATCTAAGTAATTTATTTTTTTAATTCAATTTTGATTATTTCATAACATTTTATATTTCATCACATAACATTTCATTTATATTTGGGCCTAATTTGATCAGTTCAATCACTGACTTTATGGCCTTCAGCTGAAACTCTTTCAGGAAGGCTGATCTCAAGTTTCCTCACTCATGGCTCCTCTGAGCTCCCTCTTCACTCCTCCCTCCTCTGATAAGAAATCAGAGCTTTGGGACGGCCTGCGAGATATAGATCTGAAAAAACTTCCACTTGAAGTGACTTTCGAGGAGCAAGGAAATATCAAAAAGGAGAACTGGAGAATTTAATGCAACATTTTTTGGAAGATGTATTGATCAATGAGGATAATGACTGTGTCTGACATTGGTTTGCAGTAGCTTTGCAATTTCCTGCACTCTACATGGACAACTTGAAGGGCACTCGGTAAAGCACATACTTCCGCCGCGTCGTTTTTTAGCTTGTTCCGGATCCAGAATCCAGAATATGTTCCAGATCACTTCTAAAATTGAATCAACGCTTCCTCAGACTATCACCCACCATCCTACCAAATTATCACCCCCATCCCCCCCTCCCCCAACAGTAGGAATGGGGTACCACTGTTCCTGGGCCCTGCCCTTGTTAAAGGCAACAGCATAGTGAACTCTCCTCAGATAACAGCATTTTATCCCAAACCTGGCTACCTCTGACTGCAGTCTCAAAGCTGCATAACTGCAAGACTGACCTCCCATTGTGATTTAAAAATAGGCAGTTGCTACGGGTATGGCAGTTTTCCAATGCATTTCAATGTAGAGAGGTACGGCAGTCCCAATTTCAAACCCTGGCCTAACCTAACCCTGACCCTAACCCCAACCCCTAACCCTTCCCCTAACCAAAATTCCTAGTCCTTATCCTAATCCCTTCAATCGACAGCCATACCCATAAAACTGCCGTATCTCTAGACACTGCGCTAAAAATATACAGTAAATACAATATTTTATCACAAAATTATATTTTGCTGTGTAAACATACCCCAAACATGAACTCCAGAGAAAACCTGTGGTTTGAATTGAACAGAACAGTTTTTCACAAAACTCTATCAAGTATTAAGTATTAGAGTGTCTATATGTTCTGTGCACTATATTGTCTTATTGTGCGATTACACGTGGGCTGATTTTGTATCTCCTTTGTGTCTGTTCCAGTCTAGTGCGACGGGGCGCTGCTTCTGAAATGAATCTCAAAGGGCAGCCAGACCCTGAAGATGGGGGCCTCCACACTGCCAGAAAGAGGTACTCAAAAATGTCTTTTATGTGCTGTGAGTTAGAGCTGCAAAAAGGGGTGCCGAGTGGAAAGAAGTCTGGTGGATGCCACGTCGCTGTGGGGAGGCGTTTGAGAAGACATTTCATCAAAATTTGATTGCGATTTAATGCTCTTTGTATAAGAAAAAGTTAAGTTTTTTTTTTTTTTTTTAAAAAAAATTTGGCATCTCCAATCCCACCAGAATCTGGAATGCCCAATTGGTGAACTATGTACATGGCTTGCTCGTATGCGACCCCTTGCTGCCAACTCAGGAGAGTGTAAACAGTTCACGGCTCTCCTCCGAAGCACGCGCCTGTCAGCCACCGCTTCTTATACACTCATTGGTTGAATCTTCGCAAGTACAGAACGAGGGTGGAGGATACCCAGACATGACCAGGCTTAGAATCTTCCTGACGAGCGCCCGTCTGGCCAGCAGGAGGCGCTTGAGCAACGAACAAAGCAACTATTGTATTCCCTTCCGGCAGTCCCTTCCCAATTTGCAACCCTGTAGCGCTATAGCCAATTGTGCGCTACTCTGAAAAAGCTGCCGACCACTGCCGGCTGGTACGAAGCGGGGCTCGAACCCGCTACGTGATAGTCACTTTTGCTTCGCAGTGCGATGCTTTACCGAGTGAGCTATTCGGCAGCCCCAGAAAAAGTTAAGTTTAATCATGTGGAGTTGAAGCACTTGATAGTCATTGTGACACTGTGTGCGTGTGACCAACTCCTGGAAATCAGTCTCACCAAGAATGATTTCGAATTCAGCAAGGACTTCTTCCTGCAGATCAGTGGCACGGCTATGGGCAAAAAATTTGCACCAGCATATGCCAACATTTACATGGCACATTGGGTGGATACTGTTTTTGAAAAATGCCCCAAACTACCCACTAATTACTTTAGATACTTAGATGACATATGGGGAACATGGACACATAGCCTAGAAGATTTCAAAAACTTCATTCATATCCTCAACACACACCACAGAACAATCACAGTTAAATACACCACACATAAAGAACGCATAGATTTCTTGGACACCACCACATATAAAGGACCCTCATTTACCCAGACACACACATTAGACACAAAAGTCTTCTTTAAAGACACAGACACACACGCACTTTTACACAAAAACAGTCTTCATCCAAAACACGCTTTCAAAGGCCTGATCAAATCACATTTGCTAAGGTACCACAGGATTTGTACACAAACAACAGATTTTGAGGAGGCTACCCAGAGCCTCTTCAAAGCATTAAAACCCAGGGGATACACTCGATCCTTCCTCAGACAGATCCGGAAAAACTTCTTGACCACAAGACCACAAGATCCGAGGAAAATAATCCCACTCATAACCACCTACTCAGCATTTAGCCAAGCAGCGAACATTAAAATTAAGCAAAATCTAAACAAGCTGATAAATGATAGAATGTTGGTATGCTTAAATAATGGAAAAGGTACACGAATTTATGTCTTTAAAAACAACACCTCATGTTTAGACCTCTCTTTGGTAGACAGAAGAATTGCCGATAAATGTGACTGGGAAATAAACTTGAATACCACGATAGGTAGTGACCATTTTCCCATTTTATGTGGCATAGCAGTGGGAATATATTCACAAGAAATATGTTATCACCAAAAGTGGTGTTTTCAGAGAGCAAACTGGGAAAGGTATAAGGAATATTGTAATGAGACAAACAATGCAATACCAATTAATTTAGACAACTCAATTGAGCAAATTACAGATTCATTACACTCTCTTATCTATAATGCTGCCAGCCGGGTTATACCGATAAGTAAGAGAAGAGGAAACAAAAAAATTGTTCCCTGATGGAATGAAAAATGTAGCAATGTAATGCATTACAATGAGTTTAACTGGAAGCTCTGTCTCCATGTGCTGTGAGTTTGAGCTGCAGTAAGAGGTTGAGTTTAACTGTAACCTCTGTCGGCATGTGCTGTGAGTTAGAGCTGCAGTAAGAGGATGAGTTTAACTGGTAGATCTGTCTCCATGTGCTGTTACTTGGAGCTGCAGGAAAAAGATAAGTGATACAGTAACCTCTGTCTCCATGTGCTGTGAGTTTGAGCTGCAGTAAGAGGCTGAGTTTAACAGGAAGCTCTGTCTCCATGTGCTGTGAGTTAAAGCTGCAGTAAGAGGATGAGTTTAACTGGAAGCTCTTTCTCTTTATTTTGTTCACAGGGTCCAGGTACAAAGATCAGGGTCACCTGTACCCAGCTGTCTGACAATGAAGAGCGATCATTCAATGAATTTTCCTCCTAACTTTAGTGGGGAGTTTACAGGTGATCAAAGGTAATTAAGTATTTTCAAAGAAACTTTCATTTTTCATTGCATATTGTTAAACTTATGCATAATTCCTGTGTAATCTTTCTACCCCTTTCAGCACAGTAAAAATCTCAGTGTTAGTTCAACTTCAGTAGAGTGCATGTGAGTCTATTCCAGCCATCTGAGAATTATACTTTATAGGAGTTATTTTAATCCTGTATTTTTTCTGTTTGTAGAAGGTACAGTAGGTGTATTATTTCATTATCAGAGGGGGGCTGTGAGTTAGAGCTGCAGTGAGAGGATGAGTTTAACTGTACCCTCTGTCTCTTTGTGCTGTGAGTTAGAGCTGCTGTAAGAGGATGAGATTAACTGGAAGCGCTGTCTCCATGTGCTGTGAGTTAGAGCTGCAGTAAGAGGATGAGTTAAACTGGAAGCTCTGTCTCCATGTGCTGTGAGTTAGAGCTGCAGTAAGAGGATGAGATTAACTGTAACCTCTGTCTCTTTGTGCTGTGAGTTAGAGCTGCAGTAAGCGGATGAGTTTAACTGTAACCTCTGTCTCTTTGTGCTGTGGGTTAGAGCTGCAGTAAGAGGATGAGTTTAACTGGAAGCTCTGTCTCCATGTGCTGTGAGTTAGAGCTGCAGTAAGCGGATGAGTTTAACTGGATGTTCTGTCTCCATGTGCTGTGTGTTAGAGCTGCAGTAAGGATGAGTTTTACTGGAAGTTCTGTCTCCATGTGCTGTGAGTTAAAGCCGCTGTTAGAGGATGAGTTTAACTGTAACCTCTGTCTCTTTGTGCTGTGAGTTAGAGCTGCAGTAAGCGGATGAGTTTACCTGGATGCTCTGTCTCCATGTGCTGTGAGTTAGAGCTGCAGTAAGAGGATGAGTTTGTTGTGGTTTCCCGACTAGATGTTTACATATTTTTGAGGTTGCCTTGTTCGTGAATAATTGGAGAGAGACAAAATCCTCTGAAGCCATCTTTATTCCCACGGTGAGCAGTCCCTGGCCAGGCAGTGCTAACTCGGCATTCTTTACAGAGCAATATTTATGGGAAAAACTCAACCAACTTTGCTCCAATCACAATTCATGGGTTGTAACCATCTTATCTTTAATTTTTTTTACTCTCCAACTTTGTTTTGTTAAACCATGGTGGAATAAAGAAGTATAGGATTTAAAAAAAAATAAAAGGAATAAATACTAAAATGGACTGGAAAATTACAGTCAAGAGAGGAAAAATACAGCAAAAGGAATAGGATACAAGTAGATACACAAATGATTCAATTGATTATGTTTTTTTTTTTCAGTAACAACTAATGATTTTTCTGAACAAATATTGATCAAAGCTACAGAGATCAAATGCATCCCCTGATTATGTTTTTGAATCAACTGAACAGAAGCCTGCTTACTAATCAAAGCTACAGAAGCCTGCTGCTTATGTGTGTGAGAGCTGCTCATGCATGTGTGAATTGAATTGCTTGTATGTGTGTCTGTATGTGAACTGCTTGTGTGTGTGTGTGTGTGTGTGTGTGTGTGTGTGTGTGTGTGTGTGTGTCTGTGTCTGTGTCTGTGTGTATGTACATGTGTACGTGTGCGTTTGCACTGCTCATGTGTGTGCGAACTGCTTGTATGTGTATATGTGTGTGTGTGTGTGTGTGTGTGTGTGTGTTACTGTTGCATACATAATATGGATTCTGATTATGATTATTGATTATGGTTATTCAACATGGCAATTGATCTACTTATGAATATGATGAGAAATATTGAAATATAATCTTCAACAAGTTTAACTGGAAGCTCTGTCTCCATGTGCTGTGAGTTAGAGCTGCAGTAAGAGGATGAGTTTAACTGGAAGCTCTGTCTCCATGTGCTGTGAGTTAGAGCTGCAGTCAGAGGATGAGTTTTACTGGAAGCTCTGTCTCCATGTGCTGTGAGTTAGAGCTGCAGTAAGAGGATGAGATAAATTGGAAGATCTGTCTCCATGTGCTGTTACTAGGAGCTGCAGAAAGAGGATGAGTTTAACTGGAAACTCTGTCTCCATGTGCTGTTACTTGGAGCTGCAGTAAGAGGATGAGTTTATTGTAACATCTGTCTCCATGTGCTGTGAGTTTTAGCTGCAGTTGGAGGATGAGTATAACTTTAACCTCTGTCTCTTTGTGCTGTGAGTTAGAGCTGCAGTAAGAGGATGAGTTTCACTGTAACCTCTGTCTCATTGTGCTGTGAGTTAGAGCTGCTGTAAGAGGATGAGTTTCACTGGAAGCTGTCTCTCCATGTGCTGTGAGTTAGAGCTGCAGTAAAAGGATGAGTTTAACTGGATGCTGTGTCTCCATGTGCTGTGAGTTAGAGCTGAGGTAAGAGGATGAGTTTAACTTGAAGCTGTGTCTCCATGTGCTGTGAGTTATATCGGCAGTAAAAGGATGAATTTAACTGGAAGCTGTGTCTCCATGTGCTTTGAGTTAGAGCTGCAGTGAGAGGATGAGTTAAACTGGAAGCTCCGTTTCGATGTACTTTTACATGGAGCTGCAATAAGAGGATGAGTTTAACTGGAAACTCTGTCTCCATGTGCTGTTACTTGGAGCTGCAGTAAGAGGATGAGTTTATTGTAACATCTGTCTCCATGTGCTGTGAGTTTTAGCTGCAGTTGGAGGATGAGTATAACTTTAACCTCTGTCTCTTTGTGCTGTGAGTTAGAGCTGCAGTAAGAGGATGGGTTTAAATGGAAGCTCTTTCTCCATGTGCTGTGAGTTAGAGCTGCAGTAAGAGGATGAGATAAATTGGAAGATCTGTCTCCATGTGCTGTTACTTGGAGCTGCAGTAAGAGGATGAGTTTATTGTAACATCTGTCTCCATGTGCTGTGAGTTTTAGCTGCAGTTGGAGGATGAGTATAACTTTAACGTCTGTCTCTTTGTGCTGTGAGTTAGAGCTGCAGTAAGAGGATGAGTTTCACTGTAACCTCTGTCTCATTGTGCTGTGAGTTAGAGCTGCTGTAAGAGGATGAGTTTCACTGGAAGCTGTCTCTCCATGTGCTGTGAGTTAGAGCTGCAGTAAAAGGATGAGTTTAACTGGATGCTGTGTCTCCATGTGCTGTGAGTTAGAGCTGAGGTAAGAGGATGAGTTTAACTTGAAGCTGTGTCTCCATGTGCTGTGAGTTATATATCGGCAGTAAAAGGATGAATTTAACTGGAAGCTGTGTCTCCATGTGCTATGAGTTAGAGCTGCAGTGAGAGGATGAGTTAAACTGGAAGCTCCGTTTCCATGTACTTTTACATGGAGCTGCAATAAGAGGATGAGTTTAACTGGAAACTCTGTCTCCATGTGCTGTGAGTTAGAGCTGCAGTAAGAGGATGAGTTTAACTGGAACCTCTGTCTTCAT